ATCGAACTTTGTTTTGCACTAAAAGCCTAGCCATCACTTCAAAGAGACTCTACTTATTAACAAGTATATACGAAACGAGTTTTCTCATCTAATAGCTCAAGGTATGGCAACCTTGGATGTGATGCTCGAAGCTTCATCTTTTGAGAAGAGTGTGCTCTTTCAAACCCTGGAATTCACATTGTTGTCAAATGGTGGTGTACTCAGTCTTCACTCAAAAGATATGGTATATAAAGAAGAACAAAAAATAAAGAGATTAGTTGGGAGTCAAAGAAACGAGTCGAGCCAATCATTGTATATACTATAGAGACACGATCAAGGCATGCCCAACCAATGTGCTTATTTCACACGATATGCACTAAGTGCATTTGATTGTAAAGGTGGAAAATGGGTGGAAAGAAAATGTTTTATAAAGAAAAGATTTGCCTAAAAAATGTTTTGCAGGGAAAATGATTTCAAGTATGTTTGATTGGTATAATTTTCTATCTGGAAAATTTTTAAATTTTCTATTCGTTTCGCTTTGTTTTACATGGAAATTCTCCATTAAAGTTGTTGGGGCAAACAAGTCCCACATCGGTTGTGAGAAGAAAATAAATCCACCATATAACCCAAGTGGGCTAATCCACCCATTACCAATTGGTTTTGGGATGGAATCTCACTTGGACCTGGTGGAGTGGGTTTGGGCCTTGGGTAATTGCTCTCAATAATTCCCCAACAACACCACCATGTCATTCCCAGACCTCAAAATCAGTCCAACTTTCCCATTCTCTTTAATTATACCATCTCAATTCTTCATAAAGCCATTTTTCTCGTCCATTTTTCCACAATTCGGCATAAGGATGAACACAGTTCAATTTCCATACCAAATCATTTAAAGTGGCTTGAAAATTTTCCAAATAAAGCAAACCACTTCAATTTCTAAACGAAACCAATTCAACAATTTTTTTTTCCGATTTTGTTCAGTTTAAAATCACGGTTTACCAAAAAAAATAATATATGTCGAATAAGTTAATCATAAATATTAATCTAAAAGTTTACGGTAAAGCATAAATAATATCATCAAAAATATTATAAATCAAGGTTCTATAATTCTAAATATTATAATGCAATAACGTAATAGAAACATTTTAACTTCTTAGTTGATACTAATTCGTATAATATCTGCAATTGTAACACATTATTCATTTTCTCCATAAAAATAAGAATATAGGACATCGAATCCATTCATTACACTTAAATAATACAAAACAAGTAATAAAATAAATTAATAGAAACATCAAATACGAAACTATTTATAACTTTTTGTGAACTATCCAATATTTCTATCTCATCCAAATTTTAACGAATCACTATAGATTCATTGTTACTATGTAACCAATTTTGAGGACAGATCAGAGTCTTAACCATATTTGCACTCAACAAATTCCTAAAAGATTTTAGAATCCGGCCAATAGTAGATA